GTTGCATGGACTCGGCGAGTTGGGTAATACAACCCGACGAGACAATGTAGGGTTTGTGGTCATGGGTTACGTTTGGACTCAGCGAGTCTGGGAGATGACTCGGCAAGCCTTCTATTGTTTTTCCCGATTAGCTAGACACACTGGACTCAGTGAGTTTGAAGCTTCACTTGACGAGTGTTAGGTGCATTTCATGCATCCATTTTGTAGTTTTAATCCATAAAATTGCATTGCATTTAGGTTTAAACTTATGCATTTTGCTTATTTTTCAGGATTTTTCATGATGCAATTCCATTAACACACTTTTATGATATTTTAGGGACTTTTGGAGGTTGGATCTTGCTTTAGGAGGTTAAAAAGAGCTGGGGGAAAAATTTTGGGACTTGTGGATCATTGAGGAGAAAGATAAGAGGAAAATGAAGATTTTAGCTTGTCAGAGATTTACACGGCCGTGTAAATGTAAGCCTATAGTTTACACGGGCCGTGTAAACGCATACTCGTGAGCAATGTACTTTGAAGGCCTAGCAGATTTGAGCAATTTACCTTTTTGTATTTACACACCCGTGTAAATGATCGGTTATAGTTTACACTGGCTGTGTAAACGTGTCGCCAGTTTATAAAATAGTTTCATTCTAGTTTAAAGAAGGTAACCGGTTCCAAAGGAAGGTGGGTCGTGTTTTGGAGTTCTAGGAGGCGATTTTAGGAGCTTTATGAAGACAATTGTTGCTTGAAAACACTGGGATTTCATTTTGATTTCAATTTGTAAGATTTAGCTCTTAATTTCTAGGTTTGTGTTTGTTCTAGTCATGAGTGGCTAGAAATTTAATTCTCCAACTTTATGTCTTGACATTTGGATGTGATTTCAATTATATGACTTGATGTTTGCTTTCAATTTTCTATCTAGTGAATTTGATTTTGTCTCAATCGAATGTTTGATTCTAATTGTAATTCTTATTGGCCATGTGAATTAGGGTTAGATCATTCAAGTTATCTAATTGCAAAATCCGTAATTGTTTTGTAAGTTAGACTAGTTAGCAAGCACTAATTCGATTTCTATTGAATGAATTTAGTGTAAATCTTTTCACACTTTTACACTCCCGATCTTGTGAGGAGTATTGAGTGTTGTTGGGAACATTCACATTAAGTTTAAAGCAACCTTTCAATCTAATTCTAAGAGCTTGTTTAGGTTACCCAACTTTTAGAGGTTTGGAGAATGAAGATCCTCACGAGTTCCTTACTGAGTTCCATGTAGTATGTGTGGGTATGAAACCACACAATGTCACGGAGGACCAAATCAAGCTTGGGGCATTCCCCTTTGCGGTGCAAGATGCAGCCAAAGCTTGGCTTTATGACCTCCCACCGGGGATGGTAACTACTTGGGTAGATCTTGCAAGGTTATTTTTAGATAAGTATTTTCCCGAGATGAAGGCTTCAGCCCTACGGAGGGAAATCATTGGAATCAAGCAGCATAAGAGAGAAGCTTTTCACACATATTAGGAGCGATTCAAGAAACTTTGTGCTTGATGCGCAAAGCATGGAATCACTGAATATCAGCTTCTCCAATATTTCATTGAAGGAATGAATCCAAAGGAAAGGCGGCTTCTTAATGCCTCCAGTGGCGGATCTTTAACCGAAAAGAATCCTACCGAAATCCACAATTTGATCAAAAACATGGCTGAAGATTTCAAACATTCAAGCCATGATGAAGAATGGTACACGGATGCACCCTGAGGTGTAAAGGAGGTCCAAACTCCTCAAATTGAGTCTCAATTGTCCGAGCTTACGAAATTGGTTATGATGTTAGCAAAAGACAAAGGTGTGCGGCCAACACCCCGCCTGTTCGGTATTTGCACTCAAGTGGGGCATCCAACCGACATGTGCCCTCAACTGCAAGATGAGGATTATGAAGAAGCAAAAGCCATGGGAGGTTTTTCTAGGTCAAATCAAAGGGGAATAGAATAGCCATAGGGTGATCAAAGATGGAACAACAATCAAGATTGGGGAGGAAATCAACCAGGGAGTTATCAATCAAATCAACCACATCAATACCAACAAAGTTCACCTTTTCCACCACAAAACTTTCAGCCAAGGCAGCCACAATATCCTCCTCAACAAGCGGGTTCATCAATTATGTCCTTAGAGGAAATAGTGAAGAGTTTGGCAACTAGTACACAAGCTTTCCAACAAGAAACAAAAGCAAGCATAAAGAACTTAGAGAAACAAGTTTCACAGCTTGCGATTTCTGTAAGCAAAGTAGAATGTCAAGGAAAGTTGACTGCGCAAACTGAAGCAAACCCAAGGCATAACGTGTGTGCCATCACATTGAGAGGCGGAAAAAGTTACGATGGTCAAAAAGTGTCAGTTGATCAAAAGGAAGAAGAAATAGTGGTCGAAGAGGCAACTAAAGAAGAGAAAACAATCGAAAAGAAGCCCTTCATCACTGAGTCTAAAGCTACACCTGTTCTATTTCCCGAAAGATTAAAGAGCATGAAGAAAGAACAGGAGGAGAGTGAGAGGATACAAATGTTTAAAAAAGTTCAAATCAACATTCCACTCCTCTACGCCATCAAGCAGGTACCTATATATGCAAGGTTCCTTAAGGATCTTTGTGTATCTAAAAAGAAATTAAAAGGAAATCAAGTCATAACAGTTGGGGAGCATGTATCTGCGGTTTTGCAAAAGTGGATGCCCCTGAAGTGCAAGGATCCCGACAACTTTACCGTGCCTTGGAAATTGGGGAATCTTCATGTACCCCGAGCCATGCTCGATATCGGTGCATCCGTAAATGTCCTACCATATTCTCTTTTCAAATCAATTGGTGTAGGAACATTGAGCAAAACCGGTGTGATCATCCAACTTGTCGACCGGTCTTTGGTGCACCCAAAGGGTGTACTAGAGGACGTGTTAGTGCAAGTCGAAGAATTTATCTTCCCGACTGATTTTTCTATCTTACATATGGGATATGATGACTCTCCAAGTTCAAGTTCCATACTTTTGAGTAAACCTGTTTTTTAAAATTTCCAAAACAAAAATTGATGTCTACAATGGAACTTTAAGTATGGAATTTGATGGTCAAGTTATCAACTTCAATATTCATGAAGCAAAAAAGGTTCCTTCTGAGGTTCAATCTGTCAATCTTGTGAATTTGATCGAGCCCTCAACTACAAAGGGTTTAATTTTGTCTAACAATGAATTTCTAGAGTTAGTTTTGCGAGGAAAACTAGACAGGGACAAAGCCAAAGAGCTTGCAAAGGAGGCCGATATGGACAATGAGGTGTTGGAGAGTTTGGAGTTTATTGATGACAAGAAGCATGTGAGGAGTGATGATATAAAACCCAGGCCATCTACCAAAGTCAAAATCCTTCCACCGGTGGAACAAGCACAAGATTCAGGAGCAAAAACTCCACCGGATCCCTTAAAGAGTATACATGTCAAGATGGAGGTTACGAGGAGGTTGATGTGTTGGAGAGGCCCGCATATCAAGACTGAAGCTCATTAAGGGGACAAAGTCGAGCCAACGAATTTAAAAAGGGGCGGCTAACCGGGAAGCAACCCGGGGGTATTTTTGTCATTCCTTGTTTTTCCATCATATTTTCTTTGTTTTTAAGTTTCCAAATTGTTATTCGTGTTTAAAGAGGGTAAAAAATCATTTTCCTGGCAGTAGTGGGTTGGCGGATCACAATTCCAAAAAGTGAAAAAATCAATTTTTTGGCCTTTATAGAAGTTTACACGACCGTGTAAACGTATGCTTACGGATTACACAGGCCGTGTAAACGACCAAACCAGCACATATCAGACGTTTAATTTACACGGCTGTGTAAATTTTGCCTTTCAGTTTACACGGGTCGTGTAAACGTAAAAACAGAGCTAGGTAATTTTTAAGGTTAAACTCGATTTTTCTTGCTCATTCTTTTAACACCAACTGCGATTTTTCTCCTCCCTACTGCCCCCTTCAAAAAAATCGTCAAAAACACTCCATATTCCTCAATTTTGCTCCAAAAATAAAGCTCCAAGGTATGAAATTCTTCTCTTTTCTTCATCTTCTTTGTCTTACAACTCAAATTCATCCCTTTCATGGCCGATTTTGGAGGTTTTGAGCAAACCCTAGAATTTTTGGGTATTCAAATCTCGACCTAATGCTTGAAATTTGGTGTAGGATAAGCTTGGGGAAAGCTTGGGGAAGCATTGGACAACATCCTACCACCATTTTCAAGCACAAATTGATATAATTATTCCAACTCTTTAGTGATATTGCTAGTTTTTGTGCATATACTTAGATTTTGGGGTGATTTTGGTGATATTGCTAGTTTTTGTGCTTGCTCTTGAGTTTAAATTGTCCTACATTTTGTGCAAAACTTTGTTTAATTCAATTGGACAATGGCTTCCCGTGGAAAAAGGGCTAGAATTGGGACCTCACATATGGGTGGTCAAGAACCCAATGATGAACAGTGGCAACAACCCATGAAAAATCCATATGAATTTGGTCTTATTTTTGAGACCAATCAACAAAACATTTTGTATGCAAGCCTTATTAGAAGAGTAATGGGGGCTCAAAATTCTATGGACATCCAAGCCCTCAAGGACCTTCATATCTATAAAGGTGTGCACAAGCTCTTCAAGAACATTGGTTGGGAAGGGTTATTGAATCTACATGCAGTTAGTTATCAAACACCAATGTTGAAATTCTTGTCCTCAATAGCCTTTGATTACCAGACACATATCCTCACCTTCCGTTTGCTAAATTAATCTCATCAAGTACATGCTGATACCCTTTGTGATATCATTGGTTCTCCTAAAGCAAAAAGGGATATATATATATATATATATATATATATATATATATATATATATATATATATATATATATATATATATATATATATATATACAACAAAGGGCATAAAAAATGTTGTATTTGAGCAAAACTACGGAATTTTTGGAGAAGTATCTCTTGTGAGGATGAGTATTAGTCAGGCACCACAAAAGCATCTACCATTATTCATATGGTACTGAAGGTCACCCACCAAATTATTACTTCTCTCTTATTTCCTCAAGAAGAGATTAGCAAGGCAAACAAAAAAGAATTAGAAGTTTTGTGGTGCATGATTAACAAGCCCAAGGAAGTCCCTCGTTTTGGGTGTTGGGAAGTTCAGAAGATGCTCGAAAATGCCATGAGCAATGGTGGCCAGCTACATTGTGGAGGCATGGTATCTATTATAGCTGAACATCTTGGCCTCCATCTACCTAACAATCTAACCAATATAATTATGGGCCGTACTCTTTTATCACTTGAGGTTCTGGAAATCATGCATCTTTTCCACCGTAATTCCAATGGAGATGTTCATTGGACCATCGATGGTAAAGAATATCTACGCATCAACAGCCAAAATAAGAGGATATTAGCCTTAGCCAATGATATCCCATCTTCCAATTGGAAGCTCCAGTCCAACTTGGGTGTTAATGTAACCCGTAGATCTTCAGCTACCATTCCTAATCCTTCTGCTCCAACTCCAACTGTAGGTGCTTCTAGCTCGTCTCACCCCTTTCCTTTCCACGAACACAACCATTACATGGGCGAGTTTGCACGCTTAGATCATCATTACACGAGCCTCCACCAGTAAGTAGGAGAGATTTCATGACTACCGTAACCTTCAACAAGAGTTGCTGAAATCACTTCCGAATTTCATGACTACCGTAACCTTCAACAAGAGTGTTGGGCCCATCAAGAGCTACGATGGGCTGAACAAGATCGGCGATGGGTCGCTCAAGAGCAACACAACCGCAATATCCATTATGTGTTGAGTGACCTTCACCGAGCACTTCTCCTTCCCACACAGCAGCAACCATCATCATCCCAACCCCAGTGGCCTTCATGTTATCCTACTGATTATCCTTCACTGTTCCCACCATATCCTCCACCACCCGGTCCTCAATAGGCCGACTATGCCTCTCTCCAAGCATCGAGGACAATGCTTATTTTAATCTTGGGGAGGGCATCTATCCATGCATAAATCCCATTGCATGTAGGTTGCATGTAATTTTGTACATTTTGTATTAAGTTTTATTTTCTTGTTCATTTTTATGCATAGAAATTTTTCAAAAGCCAAAAAGATTTTCTTTTCTATTCTAATTTTTTTATTATTTTTTTGTTTACATCTAAATTTTTGCATTGCATTCATTTGTTTAAAAAAAATCGATCCAATCCTAAGCAACCGAATCTTTTCAAAACAGTTAAGTTGGTAAGTGAGTCATGTGCCTTAAGAATGGCTTGCCCTTTTTATTGAAAAATCTAAAAGCAAGTTAATCACACACGAACAACACACCTCCCGAAGCTACTTGTACAAAACAGAAAGTGAGAAGATTGTCAACATTTGAGCAAAATAGCAGGTATGAGTCACTTCTTTGGGACATATGATTGGTCTACTGAGTAGTAAATGCTCAATTGAACTTAAAATGCCAAATTCAAAAATCACTACTAGAAAAACATCCTTTTACGATGCTCATTGCATGTCGTAAAAGGCTCAGATGACGTGCAAATGCATGTCAAGGAAGGCCTTGTCATAAAGAGAGATGACGCGCATTTATGACGCTCATTTACGACGCACAATTACGACGCTCATTTACGACACGCAATGCGTATCAAGGAAGGCCCTATCATAAAGGAAGACGACACGCATTCGCATGTCGTAACCTTACGACGCGCGTGTTAATGACACACAATTCGTATCAAGAAAACCCTTGTCAAGAAAGGCCATGTCATAAATGAAGATGACACACATTTTTGCATATCATAATTTTAAATGTTTAAAAAATATTATAAATAGATATACTTATTTTCAAATTAAATTTGTATTTAATGTTTCATAATAGAAAATAAAATATCATATACAAAAACAGATTCCATCGCATAAATTTAATGTCATACAAATAATCGTTCCATGAAAAGATAAAACAGATCAATAGAAGTTGTAACAAAAATAACAAATTAGATACAAAAAAATACAATCCATTGCCCATTTGCTTATTCGAGATAAAGCTGTAAGTAGCTAACTAATCTGTACAAATTCACCCTTGTTTCTAATCATTTTCTTAAATACTTTACAAATATAATTCGTCCATAGTACCTGAACTATAGTTGCAGCCTTGTTTCTTCTTCTTCTAAACTCATCTCTTGCAACCGTTGCTCCAAGCCTAGTCTGACTAGATACAACAACTCCTTGTTAATTATGTGAAAAATACAACCGGAGAGTGGCCTACCTTCATATTAGAAACAACTAACAAAGCAAGAATGAAAGAGAAGGAAATACTCACAATAAACATTGATAAATGAATTTTATAAAGAGAAAAATTAATGAAAATGTAATATATCATTGTATTGTATGGTAGAATGAAATTGGGGAAGGAGTGGAATGGAATGGTTCATTCCATTCCATCCAACGAAACAAAACCTAAGCATAAACACAAGGAATCATACCTCTGCAACTTTGTGCCCACTCTTTACAAGTTTCCACCTTTACTTATCCAAACATAGCACTTTAATATCTCCATCATCATATAACAAAATTAGTTAAAAAAAACAGGGTCAACAGGCAAAACAAGTCAAAAGTTGACAGAGTGTATTCAAATGAATACAACCTCATAAATAGTTATTATAAATAAAATTAGATAGCTATTTTGATCATATGTAGTCATGTCTAAGTTTCCAATTTTTTAAGAGGGAGTAGTGGATTGCACCTGAAGTGGATTGCAGATTTGCCATGGTAGCAGGATTTCTCCGGGTTGGCTTCAACGGTGGTCTTCCGGTGGTGGCTGGTGGTCACCGAAAAACAACACATCAGTAAAAAACCAAATCAAAGCATCCTTACCTGTTCTATGGGCAGTGGCCACCGGATTTTGGGGGTGCTCAACGGTGGTCCTCCGGTGGTGGCTTGCGGTCACTAGGGATATATTGGAACACAATAACAAACTTCAACATGTTTTTGTATTCAAAGATCTTGACCCATGCATATTCAAGATAACCAACCAAATCACAATCTGAGATATAACACAAAACAAAAACTTCAATTCAGACCATTCACACTCAGAAAGATACCAATATATATATATATATATATATATATATATATATATATATATATATATACACACACACACACACACACACAGAGCTCTGTGGCAATTGAAGAACCGTAAGAATGACAACTAGAAATTAGCCACCACAAAAATATTAATTTATCCAATAATATTAAAATTTTAATTAATCAGGTTTTTATGATATAACCCCAGAAAGAAGAGAAATTTTATGATATTCTTGCCTTAAATGCACTCAGTAATTTTATGATATTCTTGCCTTAAATGCTTGGAATCGGACTGCATGGATTCTTTAATCTCCTGGAACAAATGAATTATACTTTCTACTTTTAGTACAATATACAGACATCACCCATAACATGATAATGATAATGATAATAGAATAAAAGATACCATACCTGTAGCTTTGGGTAGATTTGTGACATGGCAATTCATGCACACAACATCAAGCCCTGATGATCCTTATTATTTTCAAATGAAGCAATTTAATGCAGTTTGAAAGAGTATAATAACTGGTGCTAAGTTATTAACCTTTAGATTTCTAACTTGATGGGCACATCCAGCAGGTATTAAGACAACATCTCCAAGCTTTTGGACAAAACTCCATGCTTCAATCCCTTATCACAACCAAAAACTAAAGCACATTCAGAGATTTTATATCAGTGAGAAAGGTGATACATAACATGCCTTGCAAATGCATACTAACCAAACTCTTCCTTGAGCTTCCTTTTATGGTCCATGGTTAAGTAAAATGTTTGATCATGAATTGGGTGTATCACCTGGACCAAAGAAAATACAATTGAATAATTTAAAAAATTACTATGTAGGATTGTGATGCTACACATAAAAGAATTTCAACTAAAAGTTAGGATTAATACCTGCTGCAGTGGAAGACAGATGGAATGTCTAAACTCTCTGAAATGTAATTTGAGATATTCTTTGAGTTTAGGAGTACCTTCCTTCCTAAATATGTCCAACAAAGCACCTCCATCTCCCAAATCAGCTCCAACCACACAAGTACCTGAAGTATCATCCTGGTTATCACCTTCTTCACTATTAAAAGATATCACTTGTTTCCTGCCCTTCTTTTTCTTTCGTTTATTTCCATCTGCTCCATCAACTCTTTGATTTGAACCCTTTCTCTTCCTCTTATCTTTTTTATCAATGTGAAACTCAACTCTTTCATAGCTTTCCTTCTTCAATAAATATTGGTCTAATCGATTACTAGTAGTTTTATGCCCTTCTTGTTTCTTCGACCCAACAACTTGCTCAAAAGTAGCATTTTTCTTTTATCAACATCAAGTTCCTTCTGATCCTGAGCATTGTGCATCTTTTTTAATACATTTATCCTTTTACAAAGTTCAAAGTCGAGGGTCACAGTTGTAGTATGAGTCAGTACATTCACCTGCATGTCACTAGAAAAAATATTAACGAATGAAAAGATATAAAACCCAAAACATATTGGGTGTGTAAAACAGAGAATATATCTCTTTGAAATAACTCTTCACAACAAAAGCTAACATGACAAGTTCAACTTTTTCAAAATGGTTTTATTTTGACATACCAAAATGTTTAGATCGGGTTTTTGTCTTCTTAAAATAAAGCTAGAGATGATTTTATATTGTAAATCAAAAACAGGCATTACAAATTAATGTTTAACTCGGATAGTAAATATACAACTACTTCATAAAGTTCACTTCACTTTACTTTTATAATTAATGGTTCTTTTTTCCATGGTGAGTCCAAGAAGTACTGCAATTACTGCTTTTTATTCTTTTAATAACAGAAAAAAGATGAGAAACAGAAGAGGGCTATTGGTTTCTTCCAACAGATCAAGAAAGGTTCGAAAAAACTAAGATTGCATTCCAGCAATTTATGCAATCCCCATGTAATATATATGAGACTCTAAAAAATTGCAAGTGTGAAATGAAAGTAAACGAACTTTCATGACAGCTTGTATTATATTTCTTTTGAAGATAGTGAAGTCATCAGCAAACCAATTCCTTCTCATTCAAATTGAAATGGCAACTTCTATAACTAAAAGGTAAAAAAAAAGTTTTCTTGATGATGCCTAAACAGAAAAATTCAATTCCAATGATACTAGATGAAATCCAATACTAGTGATCTTATCTTTGCCTAAAATCAGAATAGATCAATAGAAAATTTCAAGCAGATGAATTTGGAAAAACTAAACAGAAAAAACATACCACGTCAGACTTGTGACAATGAAGTTTAGTTACTGAAAGACCCCAACTTTCGTATTTTTGAAAGACCCAAACTTTCGTACTTCACAATATCATTACTCCAAAACATGCTATTTGCATATTTATAAAAGCAATATTTTACATTGATGAAAAGGGAATTACAAACTTTTGGATACAAACCTTCTATTACAAAGTGTTATATATATTACATAACTACCTAGGATATTGTAATTTATACAAACATAAAATGTAGTACATAAGTACTATTACAAGCTATTATACATCTTTCAATAGTATGTAAACATACTAGTTACTCATCACCTGCAATTGTTAAACATTGATAGGGTAAGCGGTGACGCTTAGTGAGTTCAAAAAAATAGATACAATAAAAATGTTATGCCATATATATACTTCAATGTGGCAAAAGCAAAGAGGAACAACAAGATGTATGTGAAATCATGTAACAAGCGTTCATATCAATCAAAGACTTTATTCAAAGATATACTTTTCAATTCTTGATATATATCAATAAAGCTTTGGCCCAAATGGCATAGAAGACATGCAATTTCTGATTAACATCTTGTTAGATTTCAGGATTATAGTCGTGTCTAACCATTTGCCAATGCCATAGAATAGAAGTCATTCTCTTACGGAGACATGCTCTACATGACCAGAGGCTACGTACTAGTACCAATGTGAATCTAAGTCCTTTCACTGATCACATGGTCAAAGGTATTACAATTGCTATAAACATAGCGAATAACACGAGAAAATAACTCAGAATAATAACACTGAAAAGCACATAGCACATATAACACATAACATACAATTGTTCCTATATATTGAACTCACCTTAAGTTAACCGGGGTTAAAATAGTAATTTGGACAGCACTTCGGCTTTAAATATGTCTTTCTATGTGAAAACTGGGAGCTTAATTGTAAACCGGGATCTGTGAAGGTAGGGCTTCAAAACCGAAAAGATAAAATTTCCGGGCTTCTCGGGGGTCTCGGGACATGTTTCGGGTGCTAAAATTGATATCGGGGCTTCAGGGAAAGTCAAAATGAAGAAAATATGCAAAGGGGGGCTAAAAGTGGAAAATTTCCAAAGTTAGTCGGAAGATCTCGCAGCCGCCTTTATATAGGGCTGAGGTTCAGAGTCGGCTAAGCAGCGAAGGGCTCGGTGGCAGCAGCAGCGAGGGGCAGGTGGCGAGAAGGGGAGGCTCGGATGCGAGGGTCGGATACGAGGCCGGTAGGCGAGACGTGTCTCGCTCCTGCTGGACCTCAGCTTCGGCGAATCAGAAGGGAACACGCGTTGGTCTCGGGATGCAAGCAGCGAAGCACCTCGGTTTGGGCCACGTCTCTCATGACGCACCTGCGTGCGAGGTGACGTGGCCGGTACTATTCGTGCGAAATTCTTCGATTTTCAGGCCCCAAACTTGTAAAATCCATAACTTTCGCATACGAGATTCGTTTTTGACATTCTTTATGTGCACGCGTAGCTCTACAACTTTCGTTTAGACTTCGTCGGCTAATTTTGAATTTATTTTTAATATTATTATTTTTAACAGACCGGGACAGGAAAATCCATTAAAAATTCATAACTTCTTCATCCGACATCTGTTTTCGTCAGACTTTTTACCGTTGTACTACATATGACGAGACCTTCGATTCTCGTTTAGGATGTATCGGTAAAATATCGCTCGATCTAAAGTTCGAGTTTTTAGCTGTATACTGGTAAGTTGAAACTTCGAAAAATCATAACTTCCTCATACGAAGTCAGATTTTGGCGTTCTTTTTATCGAATTTCTGGGTTTAACGAATACTACGACTTTCATTTAGATTACTAAGGATAAAAAGTAGTTTATTAAAAACTAACTTTTTACATCATTCGGTGTCGTGCTGGTTTTGTCGCGGATCTTCGGTTGGTCATAACTTCTTCGTTATAACTCGGATTTTGACGAGGTTTTCACCTACAAGTTTCTAACGAGATTCTATACAACATCAAATAATAAAATTTTACTTATTTAAAATTTTATATTTTCACTAAATTTCACTATTTGGCTTTTAATTGGAATCTCATCAGACTTCCAATATTTTCTGAGTGATTTGTAAACATAGTTTTACTTTATTTCTAGTAAAAACCATCTGCTAGATATCAACACTCAATTTTACATAATATTTCACAATTTTATTCATTACAAAACACGATTTCAAAATGTGTATGTTACAAAGACCTCCTCCTTTTGAGGATTTTGTCCCCGAAATTACATCGATTAAAATAAATGGGGATATTTTGCTTTTATCTCATTCTTATTCTCCCAAGTATAGTTTGGGCTACGATGGTGTTTCCACTTGACAGGCACCAATTCTACTTCTTTATTGCATAGCTTAGTTGTTCTTTCATTCACGATTTCTTCAGGCTCTTCTACATATCTTAACTTATTATCCAATTTCACTTCGAATAATGGAACTGTCTCAACATAGATGCGCAAGCATTTGCGCAGATAACTTACATGAAACACATCATGAATGCCTGCTAAATCTTCAGGCAATTCTAAGCGGTATGCTTGCTTTCCAATTCTCTAAATGATTTTGAAAGGACCAACAAATCTAGGACTCAACTTTCCTTTCTTCCCAAATCGCCCCTTTCCATGGGGATACCTTCAGCATCACGAAATCACCCACTTGGAATTCTATAGGTCGTCTTCTCTTTTCCGTATAGGACTTCTGTTGATCCTGGGCCGCTTTCATTCTTTCTCATACGATTTGAATCTTGTCGGTGGTGTCTTGAATCATTTCAGGGCCTCCAAGGATCTTCTGTCCTACATCACGCCAACATAACGGCGTACGGCATTTGCGACCATATAATGCTTCATATGGTGGCATTTTGATTGAAGTGTGGTAACTGTTATTATACGAAAATTCGACAAGCGGTAAGTATTTATCCCAGTTACCACCGAACTTCAAAACACATGCACGAAGCATGTCTTCTACTGTCTGGATTGTTCTTTCCGTCTGACCATCTTCCTAGGGATGATAAGCGGTGCTGAGAGCTACTCGAGATCCCAATTCGCATTGCATACGCATACAAAAGTGAGAAGTGAAGCGAGTATCGCGATCGGAAATGATCTTTAGTGGCACACCATGTCTTGCAATAATTTCATCCAAGTATACTTGTGCATATTTCTCCATTGGAGCCATTTCACACATGGCGAGAAAATGTGCACTCTTAGTTAGGCGGTCGACGATTACCCAAATGCTATCATGCTGTCTAGCAGTCTTTGGCAATTTGGTAATAAAATCCATGGACAGCTCTTCCCACTTACATACAGGAACACTAAGACTTTCTAGGGTTCCATAAGGTTTTTGGTGCTCTGTTTTGACTTTTAAGCATACTAAGCATTCATGTACATATCTTCCAATGTCTCTCTTTAATCCAGGCCACCAATAATCAGCTCTTACATCATAGTACATTTTACTTGTACCAGGATGTATTGATAGCTTAGACTTATGAGCTTCATCTAAAATCTTCTGTCTTAATCCACCAATCGTTGGAATCCATAGCCGATTCTTAATTACTTTTAATCCTCGTGGATCATCAAGTAAAACATCAGCATAATGTACCATTCCTTCCTTCTTCACATTTTCTGACTTTAAGGCTTCAAGTTTCCACTTCTCTAGTTCATCAAGAATGGTTAACTTCACCGTAGTGTGAGTAATAGTATAACACATACTATTATGATAAACTTTCCTGCTAAGTGCATCTGCAACCACATTAGCCTTTCGAGGATGGTACAGGATTTCGCAGTCATAGTCTTTGATCAGCTCCATGGCTCGTTGTTGTCTCATATTCAGAGTTTGCTGACTGAATATATACTTGAGACTCTTGTGGTTGGTAAATAATTGGCATTTCGTACCAAAAAGGTAATGTCTCCAAAGTTTTAGGGCAAATACTAATGCAGCGAGTTCAAGATCATGGGTGGGATAATTCTTTTCATAATCTTATAGTTGTCTTGAGGCATAGGCTATCACTTTACCACGTTGCATCAACACACAACCGAGTCCCAATCTTGAAGCATCGCTATATACAGAGAAATCATCATCACCTTCTGGGAGTGATAAGATG